TGTTAAATAGTTTTTCTTGTTGTGGGACCGCACTTTGTACTAATTCGGTGGAATGCCCCATATACACAATCAAAAGACACATTTATACATATGCACACATTAAGACCTAAATAAAAGCACAACAATACAAAATAACAGTCACTTCAATATCTTTGAGAATGTACATTAGTGCAAGACTGTCCATAGTAGCGTAAAAAAAAGTTTCTGGTGCTCTGTAGTTATTGACAATCAAGCATTTGAATATTGATTGTTACATTTATATGTTATGCAATGCATTAAATGTGTCTGCAAAATATGGAAAAAGCTTTCTTACAAGATACTTGAGATGTTTAATACATTTAGTCGTGTGCCTGCAGGTTGTTGTCACCCTGAGTTTGTCCTACATGGTGGGAACCATTGCCTCCTTCCACGACACCACCTCTGTGGTCATCACTATGGGAGTAACGCTGGCCGTCACTGTGGCAATCATCATTTTCTCTGCACAGGTCAGAAACCAGCCAGTGCATCACGTTCTGTGTTTACCAAAGGCAAAGAAACATGCACACTTTTAAGCTGCTTTACATATCAGTTTTGAAGTTATAGCTCTCACCTTTTATTTGTAAAGAAATTGAGAATTTGACTTGTAGAATCAGAGGAGGCAAAATGTGAATGTAAGCAAGAAAAAATGCGTCGATAAATTGATAGAAAGAAGATCAAATGTAAGTAGTAGATAAGAATAGGTAAACAAATGAACCATGCCCATCCAAAGATGTGTTGTAAATAAAATGATTCAGTGTATATTGGCCGATTGTAGGCAATTTAGTATAATGAAAAAAAAATGAAATGCAGCATTTTATGAAGGCCTTTATTTATCAACACGTCATGGACGAAGACTAACATTTGTGAAAGTACTTTACTAAAGAACTCAATTGAAAAAACTCAATTGAAAAAACAAAAGATGTCCTAAAGAGCTTTCAATATACTGACCAAAAGCTCTTCAGGATGTAATGTACTGTGTGTTCCTGTTTTTACTCCAGACTCGTTATGATTTCACTGTTTGCTACGGTGTTCTGCTGATTCTGTCCGTGGACCTGATCATGTTCGGGATCTTCTCGACCTTCTACTCCTCCTATCTCGGTGACATCGCCTATGGATGTTTTGGTGCTCTGCTGTATTCAATGGTATGGGAGAAAAGAACCATTTATATATGTATATACTCATTTAAATTGATTGTGTGTTGAATTTGCATTATCCCCCTTTTATTGCACAATTTCATCGTTGTACCTTTAATCTAAATGTATTTTTTATGTATTTTACTGGTAACTGTATGCTGTGTGATATCAATTTTCTGTGAAATGTCTATGTGAAGCACATTGAACCGCACTTATTGTATGAAAGGTGCTATACAAATGAAGATTATTATTATTATTTACTGGAAATACCTCGTCACCTTCTGTCTAAATCCATTAAGAGCCCAGTCTGCTATGATTGGTTAGCTGGCCGTCTCTGTTCTGATTGGTTGACTGCAATTCAGCCATCATTGTTTTGATTATTTACCTGTGCTTTTTCTTCTGTGACATGTCAAATGTCTTCCATGTCAACACTGTATTATAACACATTTCGTGATTTACTATTAGTTATCTGGTGGGGCATACTCTCACCCTGTCCTAAATCTTCCTCATCCCCCTCTTCTTCCTCTCTCTCCCTTCAGTTCCTGATGATCGACTGTCAGCTGATGATGGGGGCGATGAGCTACCGTCTGAATCCAGAGGAATACATCAACGCTGCTCTCAACATCTACCTGGACGTAATGCTCATCTTCCTCTACCTGCTAGGGAGGAGGTGAAACTGTATACACAAATACATTTACCCACAAACACACCAAACTGTACCCACATGTAGAATTATTGTAATTACTACATACATACTGTAGATCCTGTTTTAACTGACAATGAAAGAATGATTGTTTTAAAAACTGTATACACGAAATACAAACACACCAAACTGTACCCACATGTAGAATGTACTTTATTATTGTGATTACTTTGTATATACTGTAAATCCTGTTTAAACTGACAATGAAAGAATGATTATTATTGTTTACATAAACATGTTTTTTGTGTACAATTGTAACAGAAATTTGACTCAACAATTATCAAAACAGATGAAAACGTTTACTTCCAATTTGAGGCTTTCACTTGAATTTAGGTAATTATTCAGTAGAAATGCTCACGTCCAACTTGCCTAAAGAAACTTCCAGATCGTTATAAAAGTCAGACGATGATACTCCAATAGATCCACAGAAGGCCATTTGTGTTTCATGCGCAGCAGACATTGCAAAAAAAACACATTTGTATAGATGTGAGGATGTACGTGATATAAAGAAACATGGACAAAAGAGTCAAAAAGTCGAGCATTTTTTTCTTATAACGTGAACTTCTTTTTGACTTATCAAAGTTACCGGACTAACACAGTCAGCATATATTTGACAGGGTCTCATCACTTTCTTTAAAAAGATCAAAGATGCAATGTTGTATTGAGAGAGAAAACACAATGTAGAAAAAGTAGCATTTTTCTTACTTACATTCAAAATTAACATTCAAATGTACTTTTTGTGTTGGATGTTGTGTTGGATGTTAATGTAGGAATGCAAATAATTTATCTGACAATCATGTGAGCTTTAAATCCAAAAAAATTCTATAAAATGTCAAACTGGAAAAAAAATGCAAAGTCTAAACATTCAAAGCCGTAAAACCCACAGAGATAAACGCATTGACTGAATACATTTTTTTTTTTTAGATAGTTGCCGACTGACAAATATTTGCAGCTCTCCATCACAAAATAAACATTCCCCCAGTAGCTGCAAAGCTTCACGGTGTCACATCCTAAACCAAAGAACCAGAATATAACTGTAAATGAACAATGACTGGAGATTTGTGGAGAGAAAACCTCCAGATTTCTTCGTCTCCTTTCTGTGTTGCTTCACCAAAGGGAGGAGTAGTTGAACTTGATCCGCAGCAGGTACTTCATGCGGGTCTGAGCGGGGTTGTAAACGATGAACTCGTTGTACAGGAGGTGGTAACGGCCGTCGCTGCTCGCCCCCGTCTTCCCCCCCGGACCCATAGGCACCGTCATGCCGTCCCTGAGAAATAGAGAGGGACACAATCAAAACTAGAAAAAATGCATTTCCTGTTGAAAATGCGTGCGAATGCCGTAAGCCGTGCATGTGTTGCTGAACTTAGCTGAAAAGGCAGAAAAAGCTGAATAATAGCTGAATGGTGTCTGTAGCTGCTTTTAGCTACATACACCAAGTAAGTGTGTTGCTGAACTTAGCAGAGAAATGCAGAAAAGTGAAACGATTTGCTCAGCATTCGCACTAAACATGCATATAATAATAATAACAATCATCAATTTGATTTATAAGCGCACTTTTCATTTGAGTAAACAAAACTCAAAGTGCTACAGCAGGGCTATTCAATTGGCGGCCCGCGGGACAAATCCGGCCCCTGGGTGATATTTACTGGCCCTTTGAGTATAATGTTAAAAAGTAATCACGTTTTTTTGTTGCCTTTATTCCAGAGAGGGTGTTACATTGAGAGATAGAGGGGAAGACATTGCCTGAAAACTTCGGCGGGCTCGGGTTTCGAACCCACCTACTAGCTACTGTAGTGACAACTCCTGTCATTGATTGCATCTCTGCTTGAATCATTAGATCATTTCACCTAAATTAAATCAAATGAAATGATGTTGATGGTTAAATTAGATTCACATGGAGGCCTACTGAGTTCTGAACTTGCCATTTAGATCTATAACGGCCTTGGGGCTATGTTGTTTGATTTAATTAAACACAATATATGCCCTCCACTATGCTGTTGTAGTATTTACTGTATCCGAAGCTCTTGATTGCTCATATTTCAAGCCATCTTTTTCCCGGACCGTTGCTTTGGATCATTTTCATCCACCGGCCCCCATTCCAAACTAATTGAATAGCCCTGTGCTGCAGAGTAAAATGGTTGAAACAAAACAACAAAAATAATATATATATAATAAAGTAAACAACAGAATAAAAACAGTGACATTTACGCTGGCATGGCAACAAGTGGGTTTTTTAAAGATCTAGTAAAAGTAATTGCAAGTTGCCTTCCCTTTGTGATACTTATTCTCTCAGAGAGTTTCCAGGTTCAGTCCATGTCAGCATGCAACAACCATTATTTATATTATCAATGAATGCAATGCTTCTCAGTCAATTGATTAATCGTCAGCTCGAGAAAACTTGTGGAAAATAAATCCCCTTTTGTCGCCTTTTAATATAAATATTGGAGATGTTGGAACCACAAGATTCTGGCTGGGAATGACTGATAATAGCCAATTCATTTCCCGATTAAGATCTTTTGTAGGTAATGGGCTTAAACTACGTCTACAACTAACAATTATTATGAATGTATCTGCCAGTTATTAATGCTTTGTTCTATAACACATGAGAAAACTGTGAAATAATGCCTGTACAGCAAAAGGTGATGTCTTTAAATGTCCACAAATATTCAGTTTACAATCAGGTTCAGAACATTCTCACATTTGAGGATGCAGAACAATTAAATATTTGTCATTTTTGGCTTTAAAAAAGTGCCATCCGTCCATTATTATGTTTCTAAATGTTAAAAACTCTGAATGTACACAGATATAATTCACTATATATTGTTTCTAATCTAATTGTTAATTACTCACTGTAGCTGTAGCTAAAACATTAAATGCAGCATTCTCTGTTGAGGATATGAAGGGTGACACTTCATGAAATGTTATGCTCCGTGCTTAGGGAAGGGCTCTCTGTAGAAACAGTATATGTTCAGACTGTGAAAGGTACAGAGAGAAGACGCATCAGAGCTGAGCACAGGGGGTCAAACCAGGTCAGTCCATTAGTCTGAGTCGCAGACAGAGCTCACTGTTCAGTGTGTGGACTTTCAGCTGAATGGTTTTACTCCAAAGTGCCTCTTTCTGGAGCAAACCCACGTGACCTTTCTATGGAGCGCTTGAAATAACTCTGAACAAATAGATCTGCGAGAACACAGTACAAAGCTTCGGTAGTTTGTCATCACTCTGAGGATATTCAAGTCCCCGAGCTTCACGTGCTGCTCTGAATGATGCCTTGTTGTAAAACATATATAACAAAAGTCTGTGCATCCCTTTTGCCATTTACAAACATAGTTGTCATTTCCTATTTGTTCACATAGGAAATTAGATTGTAATGAACTAAGAATACAATTCTTTTACAGAATACGATGCTTTTTTATATATGAATTACTGTATCTTTTGTTCTAATATTACATGTGTTCCTTCGTGGCTTTTATTTAATTGTTCCGCATACATTCAATCAACAAACGTCCTCTCTCAGATGTTTTAAGTATGTTGTAGTGTAACGGTGATTGGCCTGTATGAGATGTGCGAGTGTAATGAGACGTACAGGGTGACAGCGTTCTTGGGGTCGGGTCCGGTCTGTCCGAGGCCCTTGACGCTGTGTTTCCCAGCTGGAAGATTTTGGGCTTCGTAGTCGGCCATCACCAGCTCGTTACTGTCTCCCAGGGCGACCTGCACACACACACACACACACACACACACACACACACACACACACACACACACATAACACAGACAGTGTTGCATTAAATCTAAGCAGTGTGACGTTCAAATCATGTTGGTTTTACTGTTAATATGAGTATTGGCAGCTTTAAAGAGTCCGATATAAACCTGTAGGCACCAACGACTGGCACAATCTTTTCTTGGAGCTNTGTAATTTGAAACCAAAACTAAGGCCTCAGGATGACTTTAAGACTTGAACATGGTCATTTTTATTTTGTAATATTGAATACAACATTTAAAAAAAAGTATTTATAAAAATTAAAAAAATTAAAAAAATCCCGATCCCCGATTCTTTTTCTCCCGATTCCAATCTTTTGAAAATCACGTGATCGGCTCCGATCCCCGATCACGTGATCGGATCGGGACATCTCTAATTTTTAAAACCTTTGGTGAAACGCATATTTTTATAAATGTATTTAAATAACATACACAATATGTTTTATCACTTTCTACAGCATGGATCTTTGTATTAGTAGCATTAGGGAAAATCAAATAAAACCGTGGTTAAGGAAATGTGAAATTGGATAACGGTAATTTGTTGGATGCAGAACACCGTTACAAAACTATAAGACACTTAAGATCCACATGACATAGTTATTAACTAAATGCAAAGTCTCACATTGATGGCATATGTCCAAGCAAAGAGAATGACAGAAAAAAATGACAACAATTTTAAATTAAATAACCTATTTGCAGTTAAACGGATATTACAGACGGATGAAACACAGCAACACACACCTGGTTTCACTGGGTGAGAGCGAATCTTCCTCTTGTACTTCGTGACAGGATTTATCTGGACCATTTTCTTCAGGTCGACTTCGTACGGCGTCTTCGAGGCCAGAGTGACGGAGGTTTCTCCTGAAGAGACGGCCGAGTCCAACAAGGCACAGCGTGAAGAAGAGTATGGCTCCCACTGTCCTTCATCTCCTTCCCACTGCCACACTGACCACAAACAAACACAGAGTAGGGTGGAGAACATCTGATTTAAAGGGGACCCATTAGAGGTGACACGTGTTGATGTATAAAGGACAGGATAAAGTGGATTTTGCATAATAGGTGACCTTTAAACAACACTTTGAGTTCTGTTAACATGGGACTTCCAAAGAGTGAAAAGAGGCACAGATGGTTCAATCATTTAAATAAATAAAACACATGAAATTAATCAGTTTTGATTCAATATAAATACTTCGGAACTACTTGATACCTACCAAGGATTGTGGATCAACATTCGTATATTTAAGATTAGTAGACTTACAATCTACATTTAAAAAGTTGGGACTGATTACATTAACAAACATTTAATGACATTTATTTTCATTGAATAATATTCAGCACAACCCAATCCAGTGAAAAATCAGCAATGGATAAAGCAATGAATACAAACATACTTAAACAATTATGTAGTTAGTGTCGAGCTATACTATATTTTGCAAAGTCCCATGAAATGACACAGGGTTTACGTTTAACCCATCTAAAAAAAACACTAAATATTTATGGCAGGAAGTTGTAACTTTGTCCATCCTTTAAAAACTACCATATGCGTGTGGTGTGATTGTTGACAGTGGTGGACATTAACAGGTTTTACCAACAAGCTCAAATTGTAACATGTATGGTAGCCACTCTTGGAAGAAAGTTGGTTGTTTTCTAAATACTTTGCAACAACAGTAAATCCTGAATAAACCATATATATTACATTATTTATTCCCCTGCTCTCCTTTGCCCATACTTGTCCTCAACAGACGTCGATGGAGCAGCTAACGGTAGCTTCAAACGGCTAAAGAGCACCAACCTGTTTTTGACTGAACTTCCTCTGTTTCTTTTGCATCCTGACTTGTTTTACTCCTGGAACTTCTTGTACGCCTCATGGTGGATTATGAAAAATAACTAGAAGTGAAGTAGGTACAGTGAGAAAGGGACACAACAGAGATGGCGGTAAACTTTCTCCACCACTGTTTCCTGGCCAGTGCCAAAGATCGTGAGAAGATGAATCACTCCGCGGTTAAAAAAGAAAACTATTTGGACCATAGCGCATGCGCTGTACACCTTTATCAAAAATGTTTACAGTTAACATGGTCATGGTATAGAGACAATCAGAATCAGAATACGCTTATTTTATTTGTCCCAAAGACTAAGAAATGTACATTGTTACAGCAACGATTAAGTGCCTAAAGTAGAATAAAAATAAATGTGGAAATAAACACAGGAATAAATAAACACAAGAAAAGAAAAATGAATACAGGAATAAATGTGGAAATTAATACAGGAATTAATAAACACTAGAACAAATTCATAAATAAAAGTATACAATATAAAGTATAAATTATAAAATATAAGTTGAGAATAAAACAGAACATACATAACATACATTTATTCAAAAATAAAAATGACACGATGACAACATCCCTTACATCTTCATATCGTCAATTAAGTCCTCTCCATTTAATATACTTTTTGTTAACCTGTTCCTATTGGTCGGATCCAGCCAGCTGAAAAGGGACAGATCATGTTATATGTTGTCACTTCAACAAAAAAGTAAGATTTGGCAATATTTAGTTTGTATTTTGGAAACTTTGGGGAGTAAACTAAGCCATAATAAATGAGGGCGGAGTGGGCCCTCCTGTTTGTTCCTATAGCACGCGGAACAGAAATTCGGCACCAAAGGTTCCGTTTAAAGCTTTAGTCGGAATTATTTTGTTGGCGGAAAAGCTCCTAACGTGCCTCCATGCTCATCAGAGTAAGAATGGAACATAAAATAAAAACAATTTGAACACAACGATTGAACTTTCAGGCTCAAAAGACATGGCTTCAAGGAGATATGGCGCGTGTGTCCTTTATCAGAGGGCCGCTGTCCTGAGGATGATGTGCAGGGTGAGTGTCATTGAACGCAACATCTTCACCATGGAGGTCAGGCAGAGAATATTTTACAATCAGGACTGAGTTTAACACACACCTATAATTTAGCTTTGTTCACAGCTTTATTTAAACACGAGTAAAATGTACATGAATATACATGTATTTATAATATTCCTTCAATCTCCAATTACTGTTTTGCTACTCTAGATTTTGAATCGGTAGTGTACTTAAATGTAAAAAAAAAACGTTATTGGTAAAGGTTTGAATCAGTCTGAATTAAGTGATTATTAAATACCAAACAATGCAAACATATAAAGCAGTTTATCTTTTATATATGGCAACAGGAATATTCATTGTGAATTTCTGTATATTTGTTAAAAGTTCATTTTCGATAAGATGGCTATGAATTTATTATTACAAGTTATCTCAAGAGTATGTTTACAAAAATGCATTTTTCAATTGCTTTGATGGACTGCAGTTTTTATATAAAAAAAACCACAACATTGGCCCTGAAACTATCTAATTACATTTTTTGTCTGTCTATTATTTTTGTCTTAATCTATGACAATAAGTAGGTTTGTTGCCCACAAGAGCTCAAATAGGTGGTAAAGAAAAAAACATTTGTACTTATCATCCAAATCTTTTTTTTTAATTTGTATTTGTTTGTTTATTCATCTGTTTATTTATTTGTTGTATTATTTTTTTGTTGTGTTTGTTTTTCAATAACAAATGTATTTCTTTACGAAAATAGTGTTAATAATCTTTGGTGGAAGGAGTGGGATTAAATAAGTGTTAACTTCTTCCCACCCTTTTTCAAATGTGTAATTAAGTAGATCATTGTTTGAATATAATTTAGAGTCAGTAATATTTTTTTTTATCAATTTGACACGGCTTAAGTTTGTATAGTATAATAATTCTCATGTTTCGTTTAATTATTATTGTTATTTTTTTTTTTATTATTGTTTGTTTTACACATTCGAAATAAATCAAATCAAATCAAAATCCTCAGGGTATGAGTGCAGCCGCAGACCTGCAGTCCCAGGTGGATTTCCTCAAAGGAGAACCCCACAGGAATCACCCAGGTGTGACCAACCTGAAGACTCTGCGCCTCCCTGAAGAACTCCAGATGGCTGCACGGTGCATCATTCAAAGTAGGTTATGAACAGAGAGGGCAAAAGTACACACATCCTTAACTCAAGAAGAAGTACAGATACTAGTGTTTAAAAATACTCTGGTAAAAGTAGAAGTACTGACTAAACTTCTTTACTCAAGTAAAAGTAAAGAAGTATGGGCTTTGAAATGTACTTAAGTAAAAAATACCCATAACTACCAACTGTTAAAGAGCACCTGACCTCCCTTTATATTAATAGAACAATAATGTCACCAAACACACATTCAAACTAAAGGAACCAGTCTGTTTGGAAAATGTAAGAAGTAGAAAGTACAGGTATTTGTGTTCAAAATGTAAGAAGTATAAAGTACAGGTATTTGTGTTAGAAATGTAAGAAGTAGAAGTAAAAAGTCGTCAGAAAAATAAGTAGTGGACTAAAGTACGGATACCAGAAACATGTACTTAAGTAAAGTAACGAAGTATTTGTACTCCACTACTTCCCACCTCTGATTACTTGTGATTATATGGAGGAAGCGATAAATCTATATTTCCAGATAAACACTGACTGTTACATGCATGCGTATAAATACAGAGTAATCATATTAAGAAAATAGTAACATTTTTAAAAACGTTAGCTAGTATGCGTCTAATTCTCAATTATTATTTATTAGACCATGCATTTGTCTATCAAAAATAGTTTAGTTTAATTTTTTTGATTTTAAGTATACATTATATTAATTCTGTGCCTCAGCCCAAGGACAAAAGTTATTTTCCCCCATTTTACTCCCCTAGACCGAGTCTGTATCTCTCGCCTGAAGGGGTAAGAAGTAGAAAGTACAGGTATTTGTGTTACAAATGTAAGAAGTAATAAGTAGTGGAGTAAAGTACTGATACCAGAAAAATATACTTAAGTACAGCAACAAAGTATTTGTACTCCGCTACTTCCCACCTCTGGTTATGACTATAGCTATATCAGTTTGCATATCAACTGTTTCCATAGATGCACTGTGTGACTCTTTGATCTCTCCACATGTAGGAGCTGAGGTGCCTCGGCTGGCTGACAGAGCTCACAGCCTCACAAACTTCCTGTGGAGCAGGAAAAGTCCCGTGGAAGAGTCATCTCTGAGGAAGAGAGCTGTGAAACTGGAGAAAGAACTCTGGGAGAAAGAGATGGATAAGAAAGCAGGTAGGTGTCATACTAGTTAATGAAATAGTAATAGATTTTAAATGATGATATAATGAAGCAGCTGGAGAAGTGAATGTGCTTCTACTTTACAGATATAGATGAACAGCTACTGGAAGACCGCATCAGGAAAAAAGTGTTCTCAGAGCTCAAAAAAACCACATATCACTGGAAGACCACAAAGTAACTATTTGCTGTTATCTAAAAATTATTTTATAGATATATTAAAATGAGAAATGTGATCAGAAAAAACATTAATTGATTAAATTACTTTCAATAATGGAGCATTTATAAGCATTTTTCACCCAAGATAAGACAGTGGGTGTTTCTCAATGTGGAGGAAGGATGCTCCAGAGCCACTATTTCAAGCATACTACGTCATCGAGTGCCGCCGAAGGACTGTTCCAATGTCCAGCATACTTGGAATTCTACCGAGGCCGGCGTACTTCGCAGCGAGACATTTCGAGGCTGCACATGTGTAGACTCCGCAGTCTTAAAATCCCCACAATGCTTTGCGCACGGACCAATTTCCAAATCTTTGGCGGAAATAGCGCTCCATTTAAGGCAGGCCTCGCATATGACGCACACCTGCNTACGAAAGGCATTTATCAAATGTAATTGTGAGGCGCGGAAGTTTGTTTTGAAAGAGTTGGGCTCTTAACACATGGAAGTACTGTTGTTATCTTTTTTCATCATATTTAGAGTACACACAAGGGCGAGCACAAGTTCAATCTGCGGGCCATATTCCGATTCTACTTTTTGATTTAGCTGAAAATCAGCATCCCCCGCCGCTGTGCTCACGGAGAGATACCGAGGGTGCTTTCCTTCCTGCAGCGGTCAGACTTACCAACAGCACAGCCCCTAGTTGACCCACACCACACACACCACACACCACACACACACACACACACAACAACACACACACACACACACAACACACACACAACCACACACACCACACACACACACACACACCACACACACACACACACACACACACACGACACACACACACACACACAGCACAACACACACCACACACACACACACACAGCACACACACACACACACACACACCACAGCAGTATACCGAACGAAACTATGTGCTGCAATATTGTGCTATATATGATGCCGTTAATAACTGGTTGTGATATGTGCCCGGCTGGCTAAATCCGTAGAACTGTTACAGGATGTGTTATTTTGTTTAAATTATGTAACTTTTTATTTATTATATATATTTTTTTAATTATATCATAACTTAGTACTTTTTTTAAATGCATGTCACATATTTAACATATGTAACATTAAGCTGTCTGTGGGTCTTTTTCCTTATGTAACTAACTACGCACATTTCCCCTCCGTGGGACTAATAAAGGGACTCTGATTCTGATTGTATCCAAGTCAACATGAATCAGTAATGATATTTGATCGAAGCCTCGAGGTGTATTGAGAGTTCCGTTCAGCCGGCCGTGGATCACCTGTTGTGCATCTGAGAGAGGAAGTTGCTGGTCTCCCCGGCTCGGTCCACTGAGAAGATGTCGAGGACCGTCATGGTGTAGTCGTTATGGGTGGTGGCGTGAGTGGACTGAAGATACTTTTCTACCACCTTCACACAGAGGAGAGGAAAGGTCACAAGGAGACATTAACAACACTGGATACAGAAACAATCTTCAGATTATTGAAGCTTCAGTTTCACCCAGTTTACTGTTTTGTACGGTTGTAAATCACAGGTCTCATCACAACCATTTGAGTTCCATACTTTTGAAAGAGAGTATTCCACAATATGATTTTGTTTAACTCAAAAGATCTATGAAAAGATATCAGCTGCCCATTTAAGAAAATCACTTACATTCATATCACATAACAAATCACTACAATATGATTTGGCTATTTTGTCACTGCCCTCTTTCAAAAGACTGCTTCCTTTTTAATTAAAGGGACAATAAAAATGTACCTTCTGCAAAAACAATTAGGCATCAAGATAGTAGATACTCATCTCTATTTTAGAATACGGACAGCCCTCCACTTTAAAAAATAATATAATATATTTTGTCATATATTCACTGTATTATTCTTTATGTATTTTTATATTCTGTGTAAGTATTACTCTTTATTTTTAAATATTTTCTTATTATAATTGTTCTATTCTTGATCTTTCTATTACACTGTGTTAATGTTTGCACCCTTTATATACCGGAGCAAATTCCTTGTATGTGTGTCTGATTCTGAATGCTAGTTACCTCACACGCTCACATCAAAATACGTTTTGGCGTGAATCTCCTTTAACGGTTTTATTCACTTAAAGGTAGGGTAGGTAAGAATGGAGAAACCAGCTCGAGGGCGATAGAATTTGAAAGTACGTAACCAGAAAAAAATCTGCCACTTCCTTCAGACTTCCTTACAGAGCCCCTCCTCCAACACACACGAACGTGCACATGACCAATGAGGGCACGAGATAAGTTTGTGCACAGATGGAAGGCTGACAGGCAGGTAGATGATTGGTCGTGCTTTTTACAGTACCACGGCTTCCACAGATGATATTTTTTTATGGAATTATTGTCAAAGCACTTCAGATATTCATTGCTATCGGGATGTTAAGAGCCTTCCATGGAATATAACAACAAGTGTTTCTGAAGTGAATTACCTACCCTACCTTTAAGTCCAGACTCATGAATCTTTCTATCATTTTGCATTATAAGTTAAAAGTGTTAACCGCTGACCTGGAACTCGTTGGTGCCGGAGTCCAGAGGCTGCAGCTGGCACTGGAGCGAGGAGTACTGCCGGTCCACAGGATGTTCATCACTGTCTCCACTCGACTGGACCATCTTCACCGCTATCTGAATTTCACTCAGAGCCTGGAATAATAAACGAGACCACCAGATATTACAGTATCTTTCACTGAGGGCCAGATACAGACAAATATACGAATGGCTAGGCCACTCACTAGAGGTGAGGTATAATGCCTCATAAACAGAGATGGCAAAAACACACATTCAAACTAAAGGAACCAGCCTGTTTGGAAAATGTAAGAAGTAGAAAGTAAAAAGTTGTCACAACAGCGCTCCATAGGGTTTCATTTATTTCGTTACAAAAAGTGTTGGCAGCTCGACCCTTAAAACAGAAGCCTCAGATTGCTTACAATAAGGGGAAATATTAAGGGTATGTTTCAAGCTTGTTATGCACATTTTGGAAAAAGTTTTCAACTTGAATTGACTGAATTTATTTGAGAAGTTGGCTTATAAACACTTGAATACTGTGTACATATATTGAAGAAGTACAACAGGTTTTAGGTGTGCGCCATATTCCATTATACTTTTAGAATTTGCTGCGGGCCGATTAAAAATGGACCATGGGGCTGCAGCTGGACCCCGGGCCTTAGTTTGGACACCCCTGGTATAGACACAACATTTTAGGGAAGACATAAATAAAATAAATTAACGGAGAAGCCGTTTACCTCCAACAGGGAAATCTTTTCTTTCAGCTCCTCTTCTGTACGAATGACTGGAGGAGTTTTCAACCTGGAGAATGACATCTGATTAAGTTTCAAAGATCAATGCTTGCCTGCAGTCAATCAGACATTTCTCCACAGCGTGAGTGCATCGCTCTAAAGGTGCATTTCCACTACAGGGTTTTAGCGCGGCTCGGTTCCAAGAGAGCTGAAAATATGCTTAGTTAGTGACGCAAAACACTGCCGACTGCTGATTGGTCAGAGAGAATCGCCACAATTTTTGCGTAAGACAGTCCCCAACCATTTTTAAAACAGATGAGCTACCGTCAGCAAGTATTTCTAATTTCAACAAATCCATAAAGAAATGTCAGCAAAAATAAGCACGCATCGGTTGTTTGTCGAGGTACAGACGTTTTTCCATCTCGTTGCGGATGAAAAAATACAGCGGGAGCTCGACGGCGCAACGCGAAACAAGAAAATGTACCAGGAGGTCTCTACACTGTTGGCCGCACACGGCTTCACGAGGACTTTCCAGCAGTGTAGAGAAAAACAAAAAAAACTGAAGAGTGATTATAGAGTCGTCAAGGACCACAACGGCCGAAGTGGTTCCAGTAGAAAAACATGCCTACACTGCGTGGTTACTATAGTTACTACTCTTGTTACTGACTGTAATGGAAACGCAGCTTAAAGTGAGCCGAACCGAGCAAAGGTGAACCGAGCCATGGCGAGCCGCGCTAAAACCTGTAGTCGAAATGCGGCTTTAAGCTGCTCTAACTGAACACATGTTCCCTACCCAAAGTCATGAGGGATGCGGGTGTAGAACTGGTTGCACGCCTCCAGCAGATCACGACTGCTGCCCTTCTTCTTCAGACACTCCTCGATCTTCTTCAGCGCCATGTAGCCTGCTCGGATCTGCTCTGAGGTCAGCTTGCCTGCAGAAAGAAAGATACGGAATTCAAACACTGGAATATTCTTCCAACTTAAAACCTGTACTGACTTCAACTCGTTCTCTGGTGGTGCAAACATATTGATATGAAGCAACATTAATTACACTGTAATCTGAGCTTTTCAATTTGAACTGTATTGTAAATATATTTTAACTTATGTATTATTTTATTGACCTGTACTTAAATCATGTTTTGTAATTGTTTGTGTAATAGAGATGATGCAATGTTTGTTGATTGTTATGTACCTACCAGAGGGCTGCAGATGGAAATTAGCTATTAGCTAATGTGTATGTACAGTGGGGCAAAAAAGTATTTAGTCAGCCACCAATTGTGCAAGTTCTCCCACTTAAAAAGATGAGGCCTGTAATTTTCATCCTAGGTATACCTCAACTATGAGAGATAGAATTGGGGGAAAGAATCCAGGAAATCACATTGTAGGATTTTTAATGAATTAATTGGTAAATTCCTCGATAAAATAAGTATTTGGTCACCTACAAACAAACAAGATTTCTGGCTCTCACAGACCTGTAACTGTATATATAGTTATGTAAATAAGTTGGGTTATAGGTATTTATATACATATTATATATATATCGTATATCCTTTATTTCATTTTTATTTTATACCTCGGGACTGTGGGAAACAGTATTTCGATCTTTCTGTGTGTACAAAAATATTTTGAGATTGACTTTGACTTTTAGCTCAAATGTGGCATAATCCCTCTCTTCTCTT